GTATAAAATATATATTTTTCTATTAAAAACTAAAACAAAATCACAAAAAATCATTTTCTATTATCATTTATTCAAGCATCGTTCGTTATCTATCCCTTGCGCTTTATTTCACCTCTCGTGTTTCTCTTAGTACACGAAAAATTAAAAAATCAAAAAAACCAATTTTCAAAAAATTTGGTTAGCTTTTTCTCTTCTTTTTGTTGTTCTTTCCGCTTTGATTCTTTTCTTCTTCGATTTATTCATCATTGTCAATCACCCTCACCCTCACGCGTATAACTTCTCGAACTTTACTCCAGTCGAAAAAATTTCATATCTACAGAACCAAAAGTTCGCGAAGCCTAAAAGTTTGGATTTATAGGTTTTCGAACATGCTCTACAAGATGAGACTACTTGGGAACAAATCTCAAATGGTCATTGAACATGCTTCTGTGAGAAACAGTCGTCTTTCTCGTGCGGTGACTGAGTGAAGTTACAAAACCTACTACAAGATGGAGCTATCGAGAATACAGGTATCACGAGAGCACGTAGAAGACATAAAAAAACAGCTCATACCTCAACTAATTGCTCTTTCTTTTTTCATCTTTCTTAAAGACACAATTGTGGACAACTGTTTAGTTCACAAATCGAAATGAGAAAGTATTTTTGTTTTCATTTATAAGTAGCAAGTGTACCGATTTCTATATAAATAAAAAATGAAGAACAACTTTGACAAAAGAGAATCTCTTAAAAACAAAGTATTTCTTAAGACACCTAAAACATTGATTTTACCATGTTTTATCCGGTTTTCTCGTCAGGAACACGATGTAACCAAGATAAATCATTCATTTCAGAGCTGCTTCAAGGTTGAGCTTAAAATGACTTAGTACCCACGATAGTCACAATTGTTAGAAAAAGATATGAGCCTTTAATCATTGTTTCATTTTTATTTTCAAATTTTCTTGCTATTTCCGAAATGTCTCAAGCAAAATTCGAAAGTTGAGATAGTAAAAGAGAAAGGATTTCTATGTCCTTATTCTCTCATTCACTGCAACTGTTGTATACTTACTTACTGCATCGATTAGTTATTTTTTATTTAATTTTATTTCAGAGTTAAAACGTAGGTACAAATTACAGAAGTTGAAGTATAATGTAAGATCAGTTGTCCTTCATATCACTTTAGAAATAAATGTCTTATATAACAGACACTGTTTTTCTTCGTCTGATTTAAAGTAAGAAAAAAAATGTAGATATCATCAATCAGACACGTGATCATGTTGTATGAAGTAAATGTGGATACGTATGTAAACTCTTTCTAATTCAAAACTTGACGGTAATCTAGCATATAAATTTATTTCATAGAGCATGATCACGTGTCTGATTGAAGATATCTACATTTTTCTTCTTACTTTAAATCAGACGAAGAAAAACAGCCTGTTATATAAGACATTTATTTCTAAAGTAATATAAAGAACAACTCATCTTACATTATACTTCAACTTTTGTAATTTTTACCTACGTTTAAGCATGATAATGAATAGGACAAAATGCATACCCGCTGGATCAAACTTGTCTGGGTAAATTGCATAGAATAAAAGTCTTACTTTTCTATATTTATTGGTATAAAAGCTTGGATAGCATGATACTTAATTAAAAATATTAGAAACGAAACAAATTTCAGAACATACAAACGAACTAACGAGGAAAAGTATTATAGTCATCTCGACTCCACCTGGAAATAACAAGTTTCGTCGATAATTATTATAAATGTGAAATATCAGCAGCATAATTAGCGTCATCGACGTTCCCCAAACAAAACCATTGAATATTTCTATATAATTGAGTTGTCTTCTTTTGTGATTATATGGAATAAAGATTTTTTTAATAGAAATAAAACGGTTAAAACGTGATGAAGGCAGATCATTGCAAAGTTGATTAAAGATTGAAATGAAATTATCAAAATTACAGATTTGGACATTATAATAAAATTGTTGATTACTTGATAATTGATAAGATGCCAAAATTAGATTATTGAAATATGGATAATCGGTAAATAGCGAAAGATTATATTATGGTCAAATCGTCAAACATCGGGGTTGGGACTCATATTTACACCAAAGGTGATACGACGGTGTAGTGCCGAAAATGAAAGTCATCGAATGGAGCTCAAAGACATGTCATTCGACGCAGTTTCGCACGCTGATCCCGAATATACACTCTGTTTGACGGTTTGACTTCGATGAAAAGTTGAAAAAACAGCGAACTCTCTCTTTCAATAAACAATCAAAAATAAAACATTTCTTTCCTCTCTTATTTTTCCGTCTGCATGAACAGATTCCTATATAAACAGCTACTTTTCTGTCTATCAGCCATCATTCTACAAACGAGCATTTACTGAAGAAAAATATTCTAAAAAAAATATAAAAAAATATAAAAAATTCTTTATTCCATATAATCACAAAAGAAGACAACTCAATTATATAGAAATATTCAATGGTTTTGTTTGGGGAACATCGATGACGCTAATTATGCTGCTGATATTTCACATTGACTCGTTTTTTGTTATTTGATTATTTTATAGATGTCTTGAAAATACGCTTATGTTACATTCATCAGCTTACCCATTTGTTTACCGAAGTGCAGGCAAAACACACGTGAGGAAAAAGCTAGAATTGAATAGATCGGATTCGAAATACAAAAACTCAAGTTCGAATCCGATTCCTTCAAAAAGACTCTTCCAGCCAGGACCTGCCCATGCCTGCCAGAGTCCTTCTGGCAATTACTCAAAGATCTCGGTAAGCCCGATGATTATTACATGTTTAGATGCCTTCAGGTGAGGTCTTTTCAACGGTGAAAACTTGAACTCGCTGGTTAATAACGTTCCTGAGCTATTCAAAAGCAACCGAGTGGATTCTATTTTGAAATGTACCGAAGTTACTAAATCAATTTATAGTTATGATGAAATTGACCTCAACCCATACGGAAAATGAAATACAAACATCAAATAAATTGAAAGTTTGAAAGTGTTGATCAATCACATACAATATATAATTCAATTCAGAAACAATCAGCTCTCTGGAATAGTGAGCCTATAGTGTTTACTCCACTAGTTAATAATTTATTGGATCTGATTTTGTTTTAGCCATTCAATAACCTCTTGCGAATGTTTATCAGGGGGAAATATCGGATAAAATACGTGCTCAATAATATCATCTTTGATTATTATTGTTAAACGTTTAATTAACGGAATATTGTCTAATTCTGGTAACTTGAAATACGGTAAATGTAAATGATTTAATAATTCCAATTTTGAATCACTTAGTAAATCGAACGGCAAATGTACTCGTTCGACAACTTCTTGTTGATAAACGGTTGTTTGAGTGCTACATCCATACACATTCGCACCTAGTGATTGCAGTTCCTTGTAATGATCACGAAATCCACACGATTCGGGTGTGCAACCTCGAGCGCCAGGAATCATGTCCCAGCCATCGGGGATTTTTTGGTTTGGTTTACCAGTTCGAGGGTAAAAGTATAATATGGTACGTGGTTGACTAGTGAGATCTATGGGACGTCCGCTAGTGGTTGGTAAACTGATTAGAAGATCAACAGGAAATTTCATGCCCATTTTCAAGTGTGCACATTCACCATCATCGGTTGGTACGGGTAAATTCTCAGGCAAATCGAGGCTACGAAATACAGTTGCGTTACTTGATTTATTGTCAAACATTACTAAATAGTTTCACTTAGTTGCTTTTCAAAAGTATTGTGTAATTTGAGAGTGTGAAGCTTAATATCGTTTCTTTCTTTCCTATGTATTATATATTACCTTTTTTCGGTTGTGATTACCTGACATGTGTTGTGATAACCATCAGTATACCCTTTCTTACATGAATATTTGCTTTATAAAAAAAGGTCTTCTCACTTATGTTACATTCATCATGCATTAATTTGCGCTTTCCATGCTCTTAGTAGGCACCTAAAGCAGATTCTAGCGTATCTCTGATGAATTTTGAAATTTATCAAGATTGAAACTTTTTTGTGTTTATCTGCAAGAAAGTTAGTAATGTTTTGTTTCAAACAGTAAAACGTTGAGGTCAAGTCTTTTTGCCTAACGTCTACCGGCTTCTTCTACTCACCATAGCTCGAAAATAACGTTATGGCTAGAGCTTTTCCAGGGATTTTCTCCATTAGAGTCGTATTTTAGACCGTAGCATGCATCATCATCATTTCATCAATATACCCGTATCTTTCTTGTACGAGCACTGAAGAGTCCGGAATGTGATAGTTTATTATTATTTATAACTCCACTATTTTCCAGCGGAAGAGCAGCTGTAAATAAACGGTTTAAAAATCACTTTATTATTATTTCGAACTCTTCAGTGTGGTCCACTAACGTTTGTTAGTGCACTCCGGTGAAGAAATTATACAATATAATACGTTTTTCGAGCGTGACAACGATGATTTACAGATGCAGCAAAACAGAATCGGAATTTAAATAGGTAATTTCAATGCATTGCTGTTATTTAGGGCGGCAGGTGCTGATAAAGTATTGGAATAGCATTTGAAAAAAATAATGCACTGTATACAAGATCAGAAAGTCTCGGGGCAACATTTTATTTAGAAGACCATGTCTGATTAGGTCGATAAATTTAGTATTAGGGGTGGCACGTTCCCGTTACTTTCCGTTACTTTACTCTGAAAAGTAACGGCTTTCCGTTACTACTATCCGTTCCAAAATATAAGAGCATCGGTTGCTTTTTGAATAACTTTTGATAGGTAATAGACAGAGAGGTGTGGTTTTCAGTTTTAGAAACTAGAGGCCTGAGCCCGTGTTTCTATAAGCGGAAGCGAGTTTCGGAAAAAACTTTCAAGTTAGTTTTTGAGGAGATCTTTGAAAAAGTAGATCAGGACTCCCGAAAGTCTCATAGAAATGTAGTCGTTTTTTTACATGGGTATGTAGCTACAAGCGTCCTCTAAAAATGGGAGTCAAGCGAGATCTAGATTTTCTACGGCTCTGGCTTTGTACCGACTTTCCTACGAGTCCCAGGACTGGCACCTGGTGACTCTTCGTAGCATTGATAGCCAGTGGACTATAGATAATCGATCATGCTGAGTCTCGTGGCAATATTTGCTTTTAGAAAAAGTTTAAAAGTCTGTCGAAAAGGGAGTTTTACGAAAACTAGGGTTTTCAGACTGTTTTCACCTAATATTAAAAAATTCAGTGTTCACTCAAAATACATCAGAACGAGTTCAAAACTTCGGTATGTAAAGCATTTAGGCTACTCTCTATTCTATTTACAGGAGATCCAGAAAGAGATTTTATAGAACTCTAATGCTTTCCGAAAGGGTTTCTGGAAAAGCCATTAATAAAAATATGATTTTTCGATTTTTTCGATCTTATAATCACGTTTAGCGGACAGAACTGATTTCAAATAAAAATTTTTAATATTAGGTGAAAACAGTCTGAAAACCCTAGTTTTCGTAAAACTCCCTTTTGATTTAAACTTTATTTATTTATTTGAGTTCAACCGTATAAAAATACATTATAGCTCTCACAAACTCCCTTTTGCGATAGACTTTTAAACTTTTCTAAAAGTAAATATTGCCACGAGACTCAGCATGATCGATTATCTATAGTCCATTGGCTTTCAAGGCTACGAAGAATCACCAGGTGCTAGTCCTGGGACTCGTAGGAAATCCGGTACAACGCCAGAGCCGTAGAAAATCTAGGTCTCGCTTGACTCCCATTTTTTAGAGGACACTTGTAGCTACATACCCATGTAAAAAAAACGACTACATTTCTATGAGACTTTCGGGAATTCTGATCTGATTTTCCAAAGATCTCTTCAAAAACCAATTTGAAAATTTTTTTCGAAACTCGCTTGCGCTTATAGAAACTCGGGCTCACGTCTCTAATTTCTAAAACTGAAAACTGCACCTCTCTATCTATTACCTATCAAAAGTTATTCAAAAAGCAACCGATGCTCTTGTATTTTGGAACGGATAGTAGTGAAACTAAATTTTGCATAGTATGTTCTATAGCCATTACAAAACTAGATGTATCGTACGATTCTGCATTGTTTACAGTGCAAATAAATAAAAAAAGGTTTTAAAAAATGACATAGAAAATGGTCCGACAGCGAAAAATATGCTCCAAAGAAATATATCATTTCACATTTTCCATTTCTGATGTTCTGTAAAAACTGCGTCGAACAAAGTACGTTTCGAACTCTTTTTTGCATATGGTGGTCCTCATTCGGTTTTTTCAGATCAAATTCAAATTTTTTTGAAAATAAATCGTTTTACACGAGAAACACTGCCTAAGCATACGGAAATTCAACAATATAATAACAACTCGCTAGAAATTCTCAAAATCCATTTTTAAAATGTTTAAATTTCGTCGAACGTAATGCACACATTTTCAAAAAGTTTAGCTGCTGTTACAATAGAAAAAACTTTAAAGAAAAAGGCTATGCGAATGTTCGTATTAATATTGAATTGTCATACTCTCTCAATGGCACTTGACGTTCTTCAAACCGCCTGAACGGAGTTTTGGTGATCCAACAAATAAAAATTTTGAGATATTATTAAAGAAATAATATTCAAGATTAGAGATGTACTGAGCGGCCTTATCCTACCGTTGCAGGGTAGAGTGAGGACTCGGACGTCACAGGACAAGGTAGAGCTAGGGCTTCGTTGGACAAATCTGAATGAATTATACCGTAACTACAATTCTGAAGTCAGTGGATAAAATAACGAAAGGGTATTCATGAAAAGATCTTAAAACTTTTAAAGGGCATGGCCAGGGATTCAGAAACAACTACCCTGCACGTCTGTATTGAAGATTTTGAACACTAGTATTGTTTTGAAAATGTCGGATTAGTATATTTTATTGTTGTGAGAATAAAATTCTGATCTAAGAGAACATATGTCAGTTTTAATATAATTACTTTGGAAGAGTGAAAAATACAAATAAAAAACTTTTTCAGGTTTCCGATTAGTTTTGTCGGTTGCTTAATTGGTAAAATAATTATGGAAATACCTAAACTGTAATATCACAAACACCAATCATACTATCACGAGTGACAATTTGAAGTAATTGTTCCCGAGACCAATTTTGAGTAATGGCGGGACGACGAGGAATTACTAAATAGCGTAAATCAGCAGTGCTATCATGAACTTGAATTTTCATATCTTTAGGAAGTATCGTTCCAAATTCTTTTAAAACCGAACGTGGATTTCTAGGTGCACGTATACGAAATGATCTTGATTTATACCATCCTGGTGGAATGCCAAGCAATTGTCGAGGATAACAAGAGCAAAGAGTACATACAATTAAATTATGAATTTTGTCAGTATTTTCTACAACCACTAGGTCATTGTCCACTTTGTCAAGTTTTAAAAATTCAATAATGGTACTTGTACCGGCATTTAGTAGCCGTTCTTTAAATTCAGGATTTAACCAAGCTTCCACAACAATATTTGCTCCTCTTTGCTCTATTCCAGCCATTTGGCGAGTTTCAATTTTTTTACGTAATTCTTCGGAATTGATAATGTTTTTATCAATTAACGCACTTACTAACGATTCTGCTAAATGTTGAACAGGTAATGGTGTTCCTTCACGATTTACTGCTGTTTGTTCGATCACAGCTCTAGCCTCATGAACATGATCATGATCGTGATCATGATGTGTGTGCTCATGTTTGTGATCATGATGTGTGTGCTCATGTTTGTGATCATGATGTGTGTGCTCATGTTTGTGATCATGATGTGTGTGCTCATGTTTGTGATCATGATGTTTGTGCTCCTGATCTGAATGGTGATGATGATGATCTTCATCTTCATCTTCTTCTGTTGATGAAGAAGGTTGAGATGCAGGCATTAGCCAATGTTGATAAATTTCAACATCAATGGTATCATCAACATTACCTTGATAATGATTCCAAATATCTTTTTGATTAAATCTTACTCGATAAAGAGGCTGTTGATGTATAGTATCCGTACTCTCATAAGCCAAATATTCAGGATTACCATAAAATCCACAAAATCGTTCGATAATACCAGTTTTACCATATAAATAACCAGGAGTACGTAAATGAGGTTTAACCCACCGAGTAGCATAATTTTCATGATGAACTCGTACTTTATCGCCAACTTGAAATAATTGTTCATCTGTTGAATGTAAAGGTGGACCATATTTCTTATTCAAATCGTCTTGACTTAATACACCAGATTCCAAACAATGTGTAGTAATAGAAATAGCCCATCGTTCATAATAGCTTAATTTATTGTACACTGCTTTATCGATTGATTCTATACCTTTTCGTAGAATAGCAGTGTTCATAATATTTTTACTGCATAATAATGCTAGTACAGCATCAATTTGTTGTTCCCAATAGGCATAGTCATGAATTGTTCGATCTAAGGGTTGTAATAATTCTTCATCATTTTCTAACTCCTTTTCAGTAGTTATTGATGCTAAATCAGCCACTCGATCAAGTGATACCATTGAAATCGATCTAAAAAACGAGAACAAGAAAATTAAATTAGCTAGAAACTTTGTTATTAGTAATGTTGAATAATAAAACAAAAGAGTGCTTTAAAGCGAGAGATCTCAGAGCTACTACGGCGTTCTATTGACTTGGACATGGATTGTAAAGTTTTGATTTTTCAGATGCAGATTTTCTAATTTCTTTGATTTCATAATAAACTACATAAGATGCATTCAAAGCAGACTTCGAGTGAAATTTATTTTTCATACACCATTTGATATCTCTTTTCACGGCGAGCAAGAATATGTGTTCGTCGAATTTTTTTGAGACTACCTTTCGGTTGAAAAATCCCAAAAACTTGATGGTGATCGAAAACCGGAAAAAATGACCTTCATCGTAAAAATGACTTTTTGAAGCTTCGTTACAAGTTGTAGTTTTGAAACTTAATTTTTCTGAATCTGCATTCAAAACAGCTCGTGAAGCACTTTTCAGTCACGTCTAAAAGTCAACTGTTGTCAGCCAAGGACCTCGGAAACAAAACGACCAAAAAAGTCGACTCGATTTTCCAAACGTTTCACGCGTTTTTTCTAGAGACGTTAGAGGTAACATTTTTCATGCTCGATTCCCTGGATCCTAAGCTACAGAAGTATAGCGGCAGATTTTTGAAATTCCTTTTGGCTACTGAGAAAAATCATTTTTTCTAAATCAAGGGCGAAAAAGTCGGAATTTTTCCAGTAATTCCAAATTTTCCCGATCAGAACTCAACTTTTGAGCAACAAAAATATCATATTCGGGATCAAGATCAAAAACTGAGTCGACTGATGTATATTTCGAAATGTTTAGATGATTTTCAGTTTTGGTGATTTCGGTTCGGTAATTTTTCAACGTGAAAATTCGAAAAACAAAACAAACAAGTAATCGGATATGATAGAGATACACATCAGTCGACTCATTTTTTCATCCTGATTCCGAATATGATAATTTTATTGATTAAAAGCTGAGTTCTGATCGAGAAAACTGAGTATTAGTGGTAAAATTCCGACTTTTTCGGCTTTGATTTAGACAAAAAGATTTTTCTTAGCAACCAAAAGGAATTTCAGAAATCTGCCGCTATACTTTTGTAGCTTAGCATCTAGGGAATTGAGCAAGGGGGAAATAACCTCCTTTTTTGCTGCACACATTTCGAAATGTCTCTCACTTGAAGGGACACTTATGAGGGAACCTTTCTAGATATCCCCTGCCGATTCCTACGATTTGTACATCGATCGACAGACCTCAGTGAGGTAGTAAATACCCTAAAAGGTGCGTGCTCATGACTTCTGAAGACCTGGTTTTTTGAAAAATTGTTTTTTCAGAAACTCTAAAGAATAACTAAAGCCTCTTTTTTAATGAGGCGTGATTGTAGCCCGCAAATTTCTGATCAAAATGAGACATTTCCCATTTCTACACGACTTTTCTTCGCAAAGTTATGGAATTTACAAGAAAAGCCCTAAATTAATTTTTCTTATTTGTGTAGCTTTGAGCTAACAATGGACATTTAGGGCTTTTCTTGTAAGTTCCATAACTTTGCAAAGAAAGGTCGTGTAGAGCTGGGAGATGTCTCATTTTAATCACCCTTCATACCTATTTTTAGGTGGAATAACTCATTTCTGCCTAATTTCGAGTATAATTAGAAAATTCATCATCCAGTCAAGATCAATCTAAATTATGTCAGAATATCAAGATGTACTCTATTTTACCTGCTCAAGACGATTTTTTACTTCAGAATAGTAAAAAATATTCTTGTACTTCGAAAGATTTCTAGAAAACCGTTTCAAAACCCAAAGTATTCTGTGTTGATTTTAACGCTTTTATTAAACTGCATAGTGCTGAGTAGGTAAAATAGAGTACATCTTGATATTCTGACATAATTTAGATTGATCTTGATTGGATTATGAATTTTTTAATTATATTATACTCGAAAATAGGCAAAAATGAGTTATTCTACCTAATATAGGTTTTATGAAAAAAATATATTGCCACGAGAGTCAGCGTGGTTGATTACCTGCGTTTCCATTATTTTCGGAATTACCACACGTAAAGAAATACCTGGGACTATCAGCCAATCCGATGCCACGCCTGAACTGGGAAAACTCAAGAGTTCGCTTAGTTCGCATTTTGAAGAGGACACTTTGGACTATCTGTCTACGGAAAAAAACTGATAGATTGTTATCTCAGTTTCCGGAGATCGAAGTGCTTTTCCAAAGATCTCCTTGCAAATAGTTTCGGAAAAGGGTTTTGCTTATGAAAACATAGGTTAGACTGTCTTCTTTCGATTGTTGAAAATCGCAAGTCCCTATCTTTTATTGTTCTGAAGTTATTCGAAAAACAACCGAATGCATTGAATTTTGGTGCCGATAGTAGCTATATTCGACTGTTGGTTTTTAATCAAAGTCTAATTCTTCTGCCAAAGTTCGGATCGCGATTTTCGGCAGAGAAGAGAAAAACAGTCAGAAAAACACAAAATATAAACTAATACTACGTTCGCTCTAAAACTGACTCACACTCTTAGAGTATCACTTCGGTCATAGGTGCACACACTTGAAGTGAGATTTTTCTCCCTTGGAATTGAGCCATGTAAAAATACTGGCTCTAGCATCTCAATTTTCCAAGTTGTAAAGAAACTTGGAAAATTCAACTTTGTAAAAAGGGGCGAAAATCGGGTTGTACACCACCCTCGAAACTTTTCGATTTTCGCCCGGAAGGAAGCCTCAGAAAACTTCCCGGAACACATATTCTTAATCGACATGGAATTCTCTATCGAATGATGTATAAAAAAAGAAAAAGAAATTCCACTCGAAGTCTGCTTTAGTTGCATGTTAATCCGGACTATCCTTTTTGTAATAAAAGACTCTTCACTTCAACTGAAAAGATAAGAAAACTCAGCTAGGAAAAAAGAATTATATCATAATAAAAATAAAAATTTTCTCACACTTAAAATCAAATGTAAAATTAAAAGTGTTTTTATGATCGATGCTTCGGGTTTCTGCTACATTTTTGGCATAATTGACTTTTTCTTTAACATACGAAAATGCTATCTTCAGTTTTCACCGTTTCGCATTCATCCAAAACAGGTCAAATTTCACATGAATATTTTACCTTTTACATCTACTATCTTAACCCAAAATAGTCCAAATGTTGTCTAAAGCTATAGTTTGTAGATAAGTATATAAAAAAGAACGAACAAAAAAGAAAGAGGCAGAAGCCTACGATATCATTTTTTACCCGTAATGATGGTGCTACTCGTACCCAAAAAAATACACAATGAAAAATAAGAGATAAAACAAAAAACGAGACGCTAGAGAACAAAATGAAAAAGAAAAATATAGTGCCATGTGAGTGAGAATGAAAGAAATGGTGAGATTACTAAGTAGTGATCACGAATCAGAAACGTTGAGCGTTTTTGATGTACTCAATGACCAGTCTGTAGAACTCAGTAAGCTTTGAGTCATTAATATTTTTGAATTTGTCCACAAACAAGATACTATTTAATGTGAAAAATAACTTACAATGTTACCTGAACTGTCCACTCGCTTTCCGAACGAAAACTAATGGTTATCATGCTGATTCATATGATAATCGTCCCTCAGACCTTTCGTAGTCGGTTCTAGAAAACCGATTTTCCAGAAACTCTATACGATATCCAAAACTTTCTCTTGATAAGTCAGAATTGTAGCCCGCGAAATACTGATCAAAATGAGATATCTCCCAGCTCTACATGACCTTTCTTTGCAAAGTTATAAAATTTACAAGAGAAGCCATAAATGTTCATAGTCAGGTCAAAGCTACAGAAATAAGGAAAAAATTAATTTGGTGCATTTCTTGTAAAGTCGACATGCCGATAATGTGAGCATTCCAAGAGAAAATTCTGAGCAGTTTCACTTTTACCGCATGCACAAAACTGACCATACACGAGGTTTTAACTAAAACAATCATACTTTAACCTAGAAATCTCTCTTGTCCGATTAATATTGTGTTATTATCTCGAGATCGAAAAATAAAATCTAATTCTATTACAATAATCTTTAATCTCAAAAGTTAGAATAAATAAAAATTTTACGCACAAACTACGACAAGTTACTAACCATAACGAAAAAACACTATTACTGTTAAATAACCATGCACTCTATCGTTTCATACAAAAGAGAGAACGAAAGGATAACTGGTCAAACAAAGATACAACAACGTGGAGTTTCTAAAGAAAAATAAGCTGAAATATGTAATAGAGTTCTATCGTAGAGCGTAAATTCATCTTTTTCTTGATGTGGCATGCAGAATCTGTATGTGGCACATATTAAACATGGGTAGGTGCAATTTGCGTCTCGATCTAGCGGCTGCGTCTCAGCGTCTAAATACAATTGGCTGAAATTATTTTGTTATAAAAATGAGTAATTATTATATATAACACAAAATATTCTTTATTTTAA